TCAAGAATATCTAGATACATATTATAAACAACAAAAGAGATGTGACTTCAATATTAAATCAATCCAAATCGGACTTTACCATATTATTCGCTATGTGAACAATGTTTGGGCATTTCTTATTGAAAAAAGAACTTATTGAACATTTGAGTTAGACAAATTGGTTCGACAGGGTCAAAAAGTTATTTTATCTGCGTAGGAATCTATTAAAAAAGAAGTTCTGACAGGCGAACTCAATCGGCTAGCGACACGGCAAAGGTGACAAGGATTTGAAGGTGTTAAAAGAGCCATTAACAAATGACTACGTTACGCACATTGACGAAAAGAACCAAGTAATATAATGAATAAAGTATTAATAATACATAGATAGATAGATAGATAGACAGATAGATAGATAGATAGATAGATAGATTAACATATTAAAATGGCTAGTTCGATCTATAAATATGAACACGCTGAAATTGGTACCCAGTTAGATAAAAGGTGGGATGGATGAACTGTTGTCTGAAATAAGCAAACATGAAAATCAAACCTAAATATAGGACTAAACAGCCGTCCAGTGCTTTCTTCATTCTACGAGAAGTTTCTTCTAGACGCGATAGATTACTTAATTATAATTATCTCAAATCCTCCTAATTTCTATCACTTGTATATCCTTGCTTGAACCGGCTTCTAATGCTCTGGACTGAGCGGCCTGGGGCTAGTATTCGTGGCTCGTGGGGGCACAGTACTATGGGTAAAGAGAAATTCGGATGCGTTCCACTACGGAATATGTGATCAAGCGGCGCTATATCGACTCTGATTCGCTTACCTTTCGTCACCGAGGCCCGTTGGAATAGTTGGTATTTCGTTTTCCTTCTATCGTAACTGTTCGGGTTTCAATTCTCGTTAATAGATGCGCACTGATGAGTCCCAAATATAGGTCGAAACGGCCGTCCAGTGCTTTCTGCATTCTGTTGAGGTTTCTTCAAGACTCGATGTATTAAATAATTATAATTATCTCAAATCCTCCTAATTTCAATTTCCTTGTATATGCTTCCGTGAACTGGCTTCTAATGCTCTTCTTGGAGTTAGTAGTCGTGGCTCGTGGGGGCACAGTCCTATGGGTAAAAGAGAAACTCAGATGATTCCCAAATATAGGACGGATCGGCCGTCCAGTGCTTTCCGCATTCTGTTGAGGTTTCTTCGAGACATGATGTATTACTTAATTATAATTACCTCAAATCCTCCTAATTTCTATCACAGACACACACATACATACATATATATATATATATATATATATATATATATATATTGGGGGTGATGGATGTACTTCCGTCTAATTTATGCAAAAAGAAAAAATAACACTGGTATCTCATTTCAATATATTTATTTAGCAAAATTACAATTAAATATTTTGAAATAGTAAAGAGTAAATTTATTCAGTAAAATCGCCATTGGTTTCAATTATAGCCTCCAGACGACTTCGAAATCTCCTGCAACTCTTCTGGACGGCCGCCTTAGTTAAGTTGGTGAATGCTGCCATAAACCCTGCCTTCAGTTCACTTTTGCTGTTACAAGGAGTTTTGTTGGTCCCTTGCTCAACTGCGCCCCACATATAATAATCAAGTGTATTGCAGTCTGGAGAGATAGGCGAACAGTTGCAAATTGTGATGTGGTTGCAGAACTGGTCTGACAGCCATGACTGGGTTCTCCTGCTTGTGTGCGTTATGGTGCAGAGTCATGTTGCCAGACACAGGGTCTTTCCATCAGTTAAACTCTTGACCCAAGGCAGCACTACCTCCTCATAGTACTTGATGTAGGCCCCCGTGTTGAATCTGAGGCCTTGAGGGAAATTGAATGGATGCATAACGTCGCCATCAATAATGATCGCTCCAAACACCTGCCTAATCACCATCACCATGCAAATTCATCCAACTCTTTCCGAATCATCTGGACTGTCTTCAGATTTACACCCATATACTCTTAAATGTTCCTATTTGAGCTTCCGGTGCAAATGCCAAGCAGTACAGCATGTTGGTTCCTAATTTCGTCATGGGGCTCTTTTTTCTCACAAACTGTTCGCAACCGAGCCAACTATATTGTAGAGTCGACAAAATAAAAAATAAACAATGCGCATGCGCGAAATTAGAAATAGAACATGAATACAATTTACCCATCGCAACGTGTATATAGATATGAACTGACTAAAAATTGTAGATACATGAGCCTAAGTCAAAAGTAATTTAATTTGTGTCAGTGTATAAGAAATAAACAAGGCAATCAAACATATCGTACATCACGATATAGCTATAGATCAAAGGTTCACAGCCCTAACACTACACTGCGTGCCAAATTATTATTGAGATAACTATTTTTCTAATATTTCAAAAACCGTCCAATCAATTCAGACAATATTTTCACACAATGTTGGCAAGACGAACCTGCGCAATCAAAATTTACTGTCCTGAATGTCCGAGAAATTGTCTTAGAAAATAAGCGTCCTCTGAAAGGAATCGAACCTGTATCCTATACGGAACCGTCATTAGCCTTAGATTTTTAGCACTAAATACTATATATATATATATATATATATATATATATATATATATATATATATATATATATATATATATATATATATATATATATATATATATATATATATATATATATATATATGGTAGCTGTTAAGCAAAAGAAACAATCCATGCAAATTACGAAATAGACATACCAAAATGAAAAAAGGAAAACAATTGAAGGTGTATTGAGAAAGCGAAATATACCTCCAAAATCTAAGCAAAGTACTAAGAAACGGAAATATTTGGTTAGAAACAAAGAGGACTGAAACATTATGCAATATCAATCCACCTGAATGGCAGTGAATGTTCTTCACGCAGTTGCATTTGAGATTCGACGCAACATAAATGTCTTTCTACAGAAGCATCCACGATGCTTTAGAGAAAATGGAAACAAAAAGAACACTTATACTTAACTTCAGAATGAAACAGTTGAAATTTATAGGCTACTTAATAAGAGAAGAAGGCTCGGAATATAGTATATTCATAGGATATATTGAAGACAATTAGGGCAGAGGAAAACGCATCAACTAAGCTAGCTCAAGTAAATGGATGGCAGAACAAGGTTTAAGAGAGATAAAAAAATGACACAATTTATAAGAGCAACAAATGGCAGGAAAATGTGGAGAGTCATGATCGCTAAGGTCCGGTAAGTTGACAGCACATCGAAGAAGTTTGTGATAATCGAATATGTTTATAATGTTTCCTGAAGGAAAGTTCTCAATGAAGAATTCTCCAGGCAAAGTTAGATTGACAAAGATTAAATTTTGACTTCACAGTAGACTCATGAAAAAATATACAATATAAAAATAGCTAACTTACTCAAATCAAATGTATGGGTTGTGCGATATGAAGTAAAGTTTGTGTAGATGTTAGGAAGTAAAGTTTATTAGGAATAGATGGGTAGATGAGAATTGAAGAATTTCTTGTGATTTTCTAAGCGTATCTTAGATGTGTCACAAGTCCGAAAATATGTGACTTCCAGTAAGAATCGAACTTACTACACAGTGATAACTGTTCTAGGAAGACAAGCTTGTTAACAATTACATCCCGTCATGGGGTCTCGACTGAAGAGGTCATGATTTTAAGATGCTGTATTAAGAGGAAGCATCTACAAGAGAGTTGTAATTCTTACAGAAAAGCTTCTCATTGTATAACCTTCAACTTACAATTACAATGCAGAGGAAATGTGTGTTATTCAATTGTGTAAATAGCGTCTCCTGTTCTAGCTGGAAATGTCTGAACTGGGGGAATTGAACATCTGGCATGGAATTAGCGATAGACCAGCAAAAGATTTTCAACTTTGCCTCTGGTTTCAATAGGTCGCAAAGTGGAAAAAAATGTCTTTTTTTTTTATCAATAACGATTTTTAACTCTATGAAGAATGTAAAACGGTGAACTGGGCAGCTACACGTCAGTTATAGCAGCAACTTTTGGCTACTACGATTTTTGCAATGAAAAAACACGGCAGGAGAAATCAGGTACTTTCCCCGAGAGACACAATGTGTTGGCCATTTTTTTTCCAGCATCTGATGCAATTATCAAAAAAAGCTAAATAATGTTTAGAACAACTTTATCATTATCAAAAAACTAAATCACAAATTACTTTTTTGCTTTGAGTTTATTCTTGCTTTACATCTATCACTGAAACTTTCCTGCAGATATATATATATATATATATATATATATATATATATATATATATATATATATATATATATAATTCTTAATCAAAGTAGAGTATCCTGTAGTCTATTTATGCAAGAAAAAATATATATATATATATATATATATATATATATATATATATATATATATATATATATATATATATATATATATATATATATATATATATGTGTGTGGTGGGGGCAATTAAGAAATTGCATTAAATCACTCGTGTCTTATTTAAGTGGTTGGACTGAGAGTTCACGTAGGCACGTGATCTGGACCAGAAATTTCTCGTGTGAATTTCTTTTGGCAACCTTCGTTTTTTGTCGTCCATTACAATAATCATCTTGGGTCAGTGTTAAAAAGCCCACGACGCTTTTTTTTCGTCTGTGTTAGCCTTTGGCCATGAAAATCAATGTCTGATACACGTGTGGATGTATTACGAACGATGGAACACACGTCACTTGATCTACGTGTTCGCCACACAGAAATTATTATAAAATGAGGAAACATTTTCCCATTCGTCTACTGTAATTCGCTTGTTTTCTTTCTCCTTTCCTGTGTTCTCTTCTCCAAACCCTTCTTCATTTTCTAATCTTCTTTTTTTTTAACTTCTTCTTTAACTCTTCTCTCCTTTTTATCTTCCCTCTTTATTACCTTTTCATTCTTCTTCTATCTTTTTTTTTCTTTGCATCCACATAATTATCGTCCTACTTTCTTTACCTCGTCGTTATCCCGTTTCTCTTTTCTCTTTAACCCCTCCCTCTGGAAATGTTCTTCTCTTTCTCTCATCCCTTCTTTTTCTCTCCTACCTCGTCATTTATTTTCTTCCTTGCCCTTTCTTTCTCCCATTTGTTCTGGAGCCTTCAGCGATACCATGTTGAATCACCGTTCCTCATACAATCACTGAAATTAAGCAACGTCGACACTGGTCCGTAACTAGATGGTTGACCGTTCGGATTCTGTAAGCGTGTATGTACGGGTGGTGTAATGGCTGAAAATTAGAAATCGGGAGTGCTATATTAGCATACAAAAATACCATGAATCCACTTCTTCTCCCCCAGCTATGGATTAATAAATCGCACTTGGATCAGTAAATCATTATTATCACTTAGTATATTAAAAAATATTTTCTGGCTTTAAACATCAAGTAAAAGTTTGATAGGCCGTAAGAAAGCATTCAATCAATTTATTTCTTTAATATTCTCCTCCTCCAAATTTTTATGCATATTTTGTGATCTTTCTTCCTTTTTCATCTCCTTATCTACGCCATTTTAACTAAGTTGTCTTTTCCGCTTTTTCTTTTTTTATCAAACACACACCCCCTCTCCCTCTCTCCATCTCCCACCCACCTCTCTCTCCCTCTGACTTCCCTCTCTTTGCATCCCTGCCTCTCTCCCATTCTCCCCTCACAATCCCTCATCCTCTCTCTTCACTCTATCCCTTTCTCTACCTCTCTCATACACTCTCCTCTCTCTCCCCCTCACCCGCTCCCCGTCTCTCTCCTCCTTCCCTCTCTCTCTCTATTTTTCCTGCCTATCTCTCCTCTCCCCCCTCTCTCTATCCCTCCCTCTCTTTCTGTTCATCCTCCGCTTTCTATATTTATCGTCCAAACAATGAGAGTAGGAAGTGTATTAAGCAGGAAATTTGCCAATTATTTTTATTTTTCCTATTTTCGAAATTTTTTTTCTTCTGAACACCGTTTCCCGTACGATCACCGAAGTTAAGCAACGTCGGGTCTGCTTAGTATCAAAATGAGTACCCGCTTGGGGAATACCGTGTGATGTAAGGGATAATGGCTCGGAATTGTTAATCTGAAAGCCGAGTTTCATTTCCAGTTGGGTTCGTTATATTCACCTTCGAAAAGTTATGAACCCCCCTCTTCTACTCCAGCTATGAGATAATTAATAAAAAAAACTTCTATCACTCAGATAAACTTGTATCTCAAAGAAACAAAATAAAAAATTCTTATAGTCTAATAATATTTTTTGCCTGTAAATAACCTGTAAAGGGTTGATAAGCCGTAGAAAATGAATGAAATAATCAAATCATTTTCCTACCTCCTAATTTTTCTTTCTTTTATTTTTCTTTCCCTTCTTTTTTCCGCTACTCCACTTTTTCCTCCAACTTCAGCTATGGTGTGTTATTTTCTTAAACTCTTTCTTGATACAATGCCATTTTTATTATGACATAACATTTTTCGTTTTTGCTCTTCTTTTTCTTATTTCTTCTTTTTAGTTCATCCCATTTTTCTTTTCATTTCTTTACAATCTTTTTTCCTCTATTTTCTTTTGTGCTCTTTTCTCTATTAAATATTTCTCCCTCTTTTCCTTCCGCTTTTAACTTTCATTTATATTCCTGTATTCCTTCTGATTCACTTTGTCTCACCAAATCTGTTCTTTCTTCTCTCTTTTTTTTTATCTTTTCCTTAATTCAGTTTCCCTACATTTTTAATGATCATTTCTTATCATTTCATTCCAACTCCCAGCGATCATTTAAATAGTAGGACATGTATCTCGAAATACCTTTATCTCGAAAACATTGTTTGTGCAATATTCACTCGCAACAACCCCACACTACCAAAAAAAAGAAAAAAAAGAATTATTCTTCTCAAGGAAAATTCAGTGTGCAGCAAAAGTAACGTCCGTTTTTTATTTAATACATTTTGTCTCTATTTCTGAGATGAGCTATTATGTACACCATATACATTGCTTGGACTATCATCCCCAAATGGCACAGTGGATAAAAGCGTTAGTTAGAGTCAGTGACAGGACGCAAAGAGTGTGCGTTCATGGTTAAGGAGGTGGAGAACTTGGATAGGGAAATTAACTGGAGATATCTGACATCCATTAGACATGGCACGATGAACTAGAACAGTCTACCCCAGTGAGCGAAATAAAGGATTCAGTTCTACATTCAACCACCTGACGAATTCTGGAGCCTACAACGCCCGAAACGTTGTAATAAATATGGCGAAAAAAAGATGAGGACAATAGTCCGAAAAATGTAAATCGTGTAGATAATACCTCATCTCAGAAATATAGATAGATACTGAAAGGCCGAAACAGTGTAATAAATATGACGACAAACACGAGGACAATAGTCTGAATAATGTAAATAGTGTACATAATACCTCATCTTAGAAATATAGACAGATACTGAAAGACCGAAACGTTATAATAAATATGGCAACAAAGATGAGGACAATAGTCCAAATAATGTAAATAATGGACATAATACCTCATCTCAGAAATATATATAGATACTGAAAGGCCGAAACGTTGTAATAAATATGGCGACAAAGATGAGGACAATAGTCCGAATAATATAAATAGTGTATATAATGCAGTAATATAGACAAAAATAGTGAAAGGGTGAAACTTTGTAATAAATATGGCAACAAAGATTAGGAGAATTGTCCGAATAATGTAAATATTGTTATTATATTTTATTGAACAAAATAAATTACGGTAGTTGAAGAAAATTTATAAATAATTTCACATCCAAGAACAAGATTTGTTATGATTAACATTTTCAAAATTCTCCCTTTCCTGTTTAAGACAACGCTGAATCCTATCAGCAACCCTTTCACAAAACATTTGACACATTTTTAGATTAATTTCAGAGGACCGTTAATTCAGTAACTGTTTTCTTTTTGAGTTAGTAAACAAAATCTTTCTGTCGACTTCACAATAATAAATCTGGAGGAGTTAGGTCTGGGAATCCTGATGGCTACCCACTTGCTCCACATCGTCCTATCCACCTCAGCCCCCAAAAGGGCCTACTTTAGCCGACAGTCTATATGTGTCGACTTTAAATGACCCATAAAAGGTTGATAAACCGTAAAAACAATAAATCAGTCAATCAAACAACCAGATTTCTCTTTCTTGCCAATTCCATTTTTATTGCTTGTTTATCGGTTTCATTTTTCGTGATTTCCTTCTTCCTTTATCAATATTACCTTCAGTTATCTTTATGTTATTATTTGCCTTCTTTCTTTCTTTCTTTCTTTCTTTCTTTCTTTCTTTCTTTCTTTCTTTCAATATTGCTTTCTTTTTTCGCTTTCTTTTTTTATTTCTTTCTCTCTTTTTAATTTTCCGTTTTTCTTTCTCTCTGTCTCTCTGTTTTTCTTTCTTTCAATATTATCATTATTTTATCGCTTTCTTTCTTTCCTTCAATTACACCTACTTTTTGCTTTTCATTTCTTTTATTTCTTTCACTGTTACATTCGTTTTATAGTTTTCTTTCTTTCATTCTTTCTTTCTTTCTTTCTTTTATATTGTTCTATCTTTTCTTTCTTTTTCTTCCTTGCTTTTTCTTTTTTCCTTTATTTTTCATTCGTTTTTTCTTTCTTTTTCTTTCTTTTTGTCTTTCTTTCTTTTATTGTTACATTCGTTTTTATAGTTTTCTTTCTTTCTTTCTTTCTTTCTTTCTGCCTGTTTTATTTTCTTTCAATATTATCTTCAGTTTATTGCTTTAGTTCTTTCTGTCGCTTACACTTATTTTGGTCTTTCATTTACTTTTTCTTTCTTTCTTTCACTGTTACATTCATTGTTTATAGTTTTCTTTCTTCCTTTATTTCTTCCTTTTTTTCTTCTTTCTTTCTTTCTTTCATGTTCGTTTTTAAATTTTATTGCTTTCTTTCGTTCAGCGATATTATTTTTTATCGTTTTCTTTCTTTCACTTTTGCCCCCCTCCGTTTCTTTCTTTCTTTCTTTCTCTACTTCTCTCTTTCTTTCTTTTTTTCTTTCTTTCTTTCTATATTGTTTTATCCTTTCTTTCTTCTTTACTTCGTGGTTGTTTATTTTTTCTTTGTTTCACTTTTACCTCCTCCGTCTTCTTTTTCTTTCTTTCTTTCTTTCTTTCTTTCTTTGTTATCGTTACTTTTTCTTTCTTTCTTTCTTTCTTTCTTTCTTTCTTTCTTTCTTTCTTTGTTCTGTATTGTTTTATCGTTACTTTTTCTTTCTTTCTTTCTTTCTTTCTTTCTTTCTTGCTTGCTTGCTTGCTTTCTTTTTTCTTTTTCTTTCGTTTTCCTTTTTTCCTTTTTCTTTCTTTCTGTCATTTTTACCTTCTCCTTATTTGTTTGTTTGTTCCTTTCTGAGTTTCTTTCCCTCTTAACTTTATATTATGATTTTCTTTTCATTTTTCTATCGCTTTTGCATCCATTTTTTTTTACATTTTTTAGGTGTTATTTCTTTATCATTCTTTCTTTTTCAATCGCATATATTTCTTTATTTGTCCTACCCTTTCCTTGTTAAAATTCTTTCTTTCTTTCCGTATTCGTTTTCTCCTTAAAATTCTTCTCATTTTCTTCTCATTCCTCGCTTGACTTCCTTCAATCGTCGGCCTTAATAGGGGAGTATGTACATTGTCACGAATTATATGCGAATATTGATTATTCAATTTATCGATTTTCGTCGCCTTTTATATTTTTTCATAAATGTTTCAGTCCCATTTTACCAGCTAACTACACTTGAGGCATTTCTCAAAATACGCATATAGCTTTTACCAGACAGATTTCCCTGCGTACAACTTTGAAAAGAAACTTTTTTGAATTTTCTTTTTAATTGCTTTCTCAAAGATCTAAGGTAGACATAAGGATTTTTTAAGGATCAAAACCGCCAATTATTTATTTTAAATTTTTCAATCAAGGCAAAAGAGCCACTCAAGCTAGAGAATTACTAGAAAACGTTCCCTTATGGAAGCAGAATGAAAATTTTGATTGTTTTTGTTTATCAATCTCTATGGGCTATTTTATTAAGAGATCTAAATATTTGTAATCATTTTTTCTAGATAATAATGGTTTTAGCGATACAAGGCATCATGATTAACACATACCTTCAAGGAATTGACGGATTCATGCTTTTATCAAGGTTATTTGCACATAACTGAATATAACGAACTCAACTAGAATTGGAACTGAAACTTAGCTCTGCGATTAACAATTTCGAGACCTTATCCATTACACCACCCACATACCCAAGCTTACAACAGCCGGCATTCCCAAGCGGTCACCCATCTAGGTGCTGACCAGTTTGAATGTTGCTTAGCTGTAGTAATCGTCACCGGCACCAGAGTTTCAAGGTAATGTGGCCGTAATCCTGATGTGGAGGTGGTAAGAAGAGAAAATTATAAAGATATGTAGGAAAAGTTCGCTCGAGGTTTGATGGGGTTAACAATGATCGGGAAGGACCCTCTTGGGTTTTTTTTCCTAAAGTGGTGGTTCTTGATACTGTCCGACTGAAACAGTGTCTTTCCAGGAACCACAATCTTCATAGCAATAAATATTGCTTTTGTATTTTGCAAGAGGTCCTGTAAGAACATAGAGCATTTATTTCTGTCAGCTATTAGAATATTCCAGAATATTTACTAGAAACACACCGCCTGCATGCGGATTGAAAAATAATTAAGCAAGTACAAAATGTAGTCTCACCCATAGGATTTCGTCAACCTATACAACAAGCTGATCTTAATCCTGCCTTAGGAAAAGGTTTGTATTTTTTTACTCCAAAGTATTTAAATTACTCATCATTTATAGCAACTTGTTTTTTTTTATGAACCCCCACCCTTGTACTCTTCTGACAAGGAAGGTGTGCAGCATGCGCTCTTGTGCAGTTGTAGTATACTTTAGATCAAACTTGTGGAGTTATATATAGAAATAAATTCATCCACAACTTTGATCTTAAGAATGTTACAATGATTAAAAGAGAAAGTAACTTACTTAGAAGGAAAATTCTTCAGAACCTTGCTATGGAATTGCAACAAAATATAAATCTAAGAATCGAATATTTTTTAATATATCCCTTCTTGAGAGAATTATATTTTCAAACTAAGATACATGACTAAAAAAATCTTAAAATTAAAAGGGAACTGTCAAATTCATAACATCATGTTTTTCCAGATATACAGCACATAAATTAATATCAAACTAAAATAATTTTAATGCCAATTTGGATGAAAGAAACTTCAAGAACATCACTTAGTCATTTTCATTCATTAGACATTGAATTGTGTCATTAGTATGCCTGATCTTTTCAGCTAAACTGATGAGTATTTATTAAAAATTTTGAAAAATCTATAACATCTTTGCTCTTGTACAAAAAAAAAATAAAAACCTTGCATTTGCCGTGATGAATTCTTACAGAAGACGAAACTCGTCAGCTAAGTTTTGCTTTTGTCCTTATTCACACACACACACACACACACACACACACACACACACACACACACACACATATATATATATATATATATATATATATATATATATATATATATATATTCAGTTTAATGCTACAGGCTGATCCAAAAGTCTTATCACCTTCTACCAAAAAGTAATGAGAACAATAAAAGAAAATGTAATACAGTAATAAAAAGCACATGTACTGGATGAAGTTTATTCTCTTTCATTGACGCTGGCCGACATCGAGAAGCTCTATATGAACAAAATCATTTTCGTGGCCCAAAATGATGCGGCAAGTCCTGTGTGATATTTTACGAAGCTGTGCTTTGTTGATTGCTACAAGGACGTCCTTCGAATGATGGGTATTCTGGTATAGTTTATGTGAAATTCTCTTTTTGATAATACCCCACAAAGCATTAAAATAGAAAATTATATTATACCTTTTAGCGAACCTGTACTATGTATTCACTTCATAAGAATTCTAATAATAAGTAGCCCATCAAGTTTTATTGTTTAATTTAGTATCGATGTGAATGTAGATATATGAGAGTCTTCCGGTATTTCAACACTATTATATTTAATTTATCATTTGGTTTACCATATAGGATATACTGGTAACCGATGCGCAGAAAATCGAGTTTAAACTCAGACCAAGGAATGTATGAAGTTATTCTTTATTCGTTTGGTTATTGGTTTAAAAGCAGCGTTGAGAGGTAAACTCGTTTTCTTGAATTTTTTAACTTATCGATCCTAAAAAGGCTGGCAGCATCTCTATTCCCTATTCAAAAGTGGTCATGTTCTTTTAAATGAATGTATCTCGTAACACAGAACTTAATAATATAGTTTATTTCCAGTGTGGATATAGTTCGAATTTTCTCTACACTGTTGCCATGGAAAAGCTCTCCAAAACATTGCTTTTATCACGCGACTATTTTACATCTTCTATTATGGGCACTTCCTCTTTAGATTTTATTCCTCCTTCGAAGAGCACGTTTTCTGTCCTATTTCTTTTACCATATAATGAATACCTCCTGTATTTAATGCTTGCGGTGTTTCTTTTTATGCACACGTTAACCGTTAATTCATCATTTAACTTGCTTGAATTTTGTTTGTTTGTTTAGCATAAGATATGATTTACCAAGTAATTGCACAGTATACATTGTTATAGTTTTGTTCTTTTTTCACGGAGACGTTCACCTTTTACAAGGCCCGGGGCCACTCGAGGTAGAGGGTTACATTTGGAGGCCGTTTCTATGTATAGGAGTGGAAGGAAACGTTGTTTAAAATATTGAAAAGACGCGTTGCAAATTCCATCTTTTATTCGTGATGTTTGGCACGTGGTATATATAAAATTTACTATTGACCGAATTCAGGCTGATTATCGCCTAGTGGATGGATGGCGTCTAGAAAAAAGGATTACCTTGAATTCATACAGTGGAGAAGGCAACGAGTGAACGTCAGCTATCTTTTTGAAGAACTCATGGCAACTCCTCGATAATAATCCTGTAGAATCCGTGAAACATTATGGTTAAGAAAATTACTTGAGAGACACTTTTATTCCTTGCTCTTTTTTCCTTTCAATTGAAATAAATCTAGGTTGATTTTAGAATTTGCATGAATGAGTATATTTAACCAATCAAAAAACTGCTTTAAACTGAGTTTACAAAACAGTTTTTGATGGCAGTAAATTTAAAAAAAAATGAGGACAAAAAAGGTCGTGTAACTCTGACATGCATTTGTGGCCCTAAACATGTAATTGTAAAATGTTATAGTAATGTGTTTTTATTTTTTTACTAACAATTTAATGTGATCTCAGTATATCTATCGCATTCATGTAGATAGCTTTTATTTCTAGATTCCTGCTGCGTCCATCAAATCATTTTAACTGCCAATAAAAATTAAAGTTACACAGGTTTTCTTTATCAAAGCAGGCTTGTTTAGTTCCATCACTTTGTATCTTTCTTTTCTTATTTTGATACATCCGTTTTCATTTTCCTTTCTATTAAGCAAGAAAAGGTGATAATGTCAGTAAGAAGTAAGGGTTTACTTGGAATGCAAGTGAATGAAAAGACATTAGTGAGAAGAAACGACAATAGAAGAACATTATTCAGAAAGACAGAAGTTGGCGATCGACTTGGCATTCAAAATTTTGCCGAAGGTAATTAACAAGATAGCAAGAAACCGAAGAATTCCCCAGGAGAGAAGTACGAGATAAAAAAACAACAAAAACAATTAGAATAGAAGTTACAGTTACGTCGACATAATTTAACAGTAAAATTGTGAGACTTAATAGACAATTTAAAAAAAAAATTAAAGTATAGAGAAATTTATTTACTGAAAAAAAAGTTTGAACAAAGTAACTATAAATAATTTTTTTTTGTTGTTATAAATATGGCGATAAAGATGAGGACAATAATCGGAATGTTGTAAATAGTGTATATAATACCTCATCTCAGAAATATAGACAGATACTGAAGGGGCAAAACGTAATAAATATGGGAACAAAATGTAGACAATAATTCGAATAATGTAAATAGTGTACATAATACATCATCTCAGAAATATAGACAGATTCTTTAATTCTTTTAATCATAGAATTTATTACTAAGATAAACTATGCTATTTCTTCGGAGCCAAATTACCATAATTTTCGATGTGTTCAAATTTTAAGAGAAATTTTATATTCAGGCTGTTTTCTTTTTCAAAATAATTGCTACACACTTACGTACGGATGGTTCCCTGAACACTAAAATCCTAACCTATTCTAGTTTAGCGTCAGTCTTTATCTCTCCTCTTACTTTCACTCATATCACACCCGCTATCCTCATAACCATTTTCACAGTATTAGGAGCTTTTGTATTGGTTGATATTTTTTTATTAAAAATACGATGATGTTCATGGAACGAGATGGAAGCGTGTGAATAATTCCTTAACTGATCGTGACAGCTCGAAGCACATAGGATTACACTCATATCTACATGGAATCAATTTCGACAGAATTATTTCGGTTTGGATCGAGTATGGCTGGGGACTTTGATTTATAAGCTTCGTAAAAGAGAAGCCGTTCGTCTAACTAGTATTAAACCCAACCCCAGGGATAACTCAACGACGAGGTAATTCTTCGGCTTACTCATTTTTCCAATGTTGAAGCAAATGAATAAACAAGAATAATTTTTTTACGATTGTTTTTAGTCGCCTGTGATATTTTGACAACGGGTTCACCGAAGTTAAGCAATGTCGAGTTTGGACAGTGTAATAGATAATGGATCGGAATTGTTAATCGAACAGCCGAGTTACGATTCCAGTTGGGTTCGTTATATTCGCTTACGAGCAAATAACCTTCTCCCTCCGGCTATGGGTTAATCAGTAAGACTTCTATCACTGCATCATTATTACGCCAAAAAAAAAAACAACAAAAAAAAAAAAAAAACAAAACAAAAAAAACAAAACAAATACAATGGAAAATATATTTTAAATAACCTGAAAAGGGTTGATAAGCTGTAAAAAGGAATCAATAAAATCAATAAATCCCGATTAGTTATTTCCTTTTAATTCCCGTTGGGCACAACCTTCAGAAAAGGGTTATAGCATCTACAAAACAGACCGTACACCTAAGGGGAGTCATAATATGTATAGCCCAAAACTTTGTGGTAACAACAAAAGCAAAAAGCATGTGATCGATAGACATAACTACTTCTAAAATTAATCAGCTCATCTCATAATAACAATATGAGCATATATTGCAATCAAGATCCTTGCACAAGAGAACCGGAGATAGTAGGAAACAAAGCATTGCAATTAACAATACAAAAAAGAAGAAATTTCTCTGAAAGATATATTTAATGCAATATTAATTATTATTAATTTCAATGGCATGTGATTGAAAGAAAAATAAAGTTTCCATCTGAAACTTCTAAAAGACGAGCTTTCGGAAAGAAATCTTCAATGTTTGAAAGAAATATGGCATCGTCTTAAACTGACTCCAAGAGGTTATGGAAATATGAAACGATATGGATTAGAAAACAAACTGAGTAAAAACATTACTGGAATCTTTACAAATGTAAAAAATAAATCTGAAATAACACTCCCCCACCCAAAAAAAAGCTTAGCAATTTAATGTAAAATTACAAATCTGACAATTACAAATTTGACAATTTTAAAATCTCCAAAGTGACTGAGGCATGGCTCTTGAACCTTACATATACGAGCATTTTCAGGTTCCAAACGATATATTCGTGGGACGAGACTCAAAATCAAAATGATTATATATAGAACTCCTTAAAAATGTAATCTGAATTTCTTTAATCCGCACATTCAAAAAGTAATTATGATAACTGAAATACTGAAGAATACCTCTTAAGGCCATATCAAGTTGAAACACAGGTTCCTCTACGATCATCGAAGCTAAGCAACGTCGAGTTTCGTCAGTAGCTACAAGGGTGACCACTTGTGAATAAGAAGTGCTTTAAGTTTGGATGTACAGGTGGTATAATGGATCGATATTGTTAATTGGAGAGCCGAGTTCCAATTCGCACTGGGTCCCCTATATACACTTACTTGCAAATACCTGTGGGGGAAAAATTCATCCAACTTTTCTCCCCAAAAACCTGGGGTAATTTCTAATACTTATATCATAAACCATTATTATATATATATAAAAAATTGACAATTTAATATATTTCTGTGTTTACGTAATCTGAAAAGGGTTGGGCACTTGAACGTGGTGTAATGGTTAACAAACTTGTATCATTCTAATCAATTAAGATTGAATAATTTGTTTGATCCTCACCGGTGCGCTATACTTTCGGCTTTCGGCCAGAACTCAACTACACTTAGAACGTCACCATAACTGAAAAGGTTTGATAAGCCGTAGAAAACGAATCGGTCATTCAATCAATGAATAATGCAGGTAATCATGTCTTCGATGTTGAAAGTTTGAATTCAAATAGCACCATATTTTAAAATGAGGTTATTTCATGAATTGATTTGCCTTCTTTAATAATAACGAGCTTTTTTCAAAGTTTATTTCAAATTTGTTCTGTTTTTTTTTTTTTTTCATTTATGTTACCTTTCATTTTTCATTAAAAATATTTTTCCTACTTTCATCATTCATTTAACATATTTTTTCTATTATTTAAATTCCTTTCCTTCTCATCGTCTTATTTTGTGCAGATGATGTATTGGATAGGTGTGAGAATAATGAGAATTCAGAGAGCCGAGCTCGATTTCCAGTCGGGTTCATTACATTCACTTACATGCAACTATCCATGTATTATTCGATATCCTCCCCCACTCACAATTATGAGATAAATGGTATCACTTGTATCTGGCAAAAATATTGTCAGTCTAAAAAAATATGCAATATTCACTCATAAAAAAGGAATTCTTGTACAAATGAAAATATTTTTCTGCTTTAAGTAACCAGCAAACGGTTGATAACAAATCCATCGATCCCATTTATCTTTTTTTTTTCATTCATATTCTTTTCTCGTTATTTTTCTGAATATTTTATAGTGTTACCCATCTTCTGTTTATTTCTAAAGAATAATTTTGGTAATTTTTTTATGTATTCTTTTATTTAATTCACTTTAATTTATTTTTTCTTTTCTCATTCTCTCTTTACTTTTCCTTCTTTCAATTTCATTCTTTTCATTCATTTCTTGATTATATTTATATTTTTATTCATCCTTTTATTTTTTTAAAAATATTTTTATTCATTCTTTTTATTCGACTTTTCCTCGTTGTTTTCTTCTATAAATCATTCATTTTATTATTTCGATTTTTATTTTCCTTTACTTGTTTTTTTAATTTTTCATTCCTTATTCCACGTCAACATTGTTTTTATTCATTTTATTTTTCATTCAGTACTTATTTTCTTCTCATTAATTGACCCAATTTTTCTTCATCCTTTTTCTCCTTCATTCTTTATTTTTTTCGGTGCTTCATTCATTTCTATTTTCTTTATTAATTTTTTCTTACTTTTCCCTCCTTTCTTTTTTTCTACTTCGTCTTCCTTACATTTTTTTCTCTCATCTTGTATTTTCTATCTACATACAACTTTTCATTTTTATCTCTTTCTGTCATTAATTCTTTCTTTTATTTAATTGGTTATTCTTTTTCTACCTATAATTGTTTTTTTATATTTCGATTTTATTTTTATTCTTCCCTACCGATTGTAATCTAGTAATTTATGGAAAACTATGGAAGCGTTCTTGGAACGAGCCAATATTTCTCCATAAAGACATGCTTCATTCCATATTCCTCCTCTTCCTTCTTTGTATTTTTTTCATTCATTGTCACTTTCTTTTTAAGTTTTCTTTTTAAGTTTTCTTTTTATCAACCTTCTTGCTATCCTTCCATTCTTCTTTCTCATACCGGATACTAAACACCGAACAAAACCTCAAATCCTTCCTGGCGACCAAAATCTCCAGCGCAATCCTTCGGTATCTTTCCGTTTAAACATCTCATTTCCATGTTACAAACAAACTGCTTTATATTCTCTGAGAGAATGTGCACGATTCACACGTCCGTACGCCTTTCTATTTCCTTTTATCACATCTATCCCACAATGCACTTAATGCTCTCCCCGATTACCAAACATTGATGTATCGATGAGCTTCCTTTCAGGAATCAATAGTCGACCAATGGGGACATCAGTACAGTTTGCCCACCTCCTGTGATGTTTGTGTTTTGTCACGCCTCTACGGAGCCGGAGGATTTCAATCCGTTTTTACCCTTTACTCATTGAGAGCGTTTCCTTTCAATGTCAGTCGATGTCTGTCTTCTCACCAATCTTATGAACCTGTTTGCGCATGCGTCATCAAACGATTACCAACAAGTGATCAAGTTAACAAGTCAATCAAACATATTTTGACAAGAAAATGAAAAAAAAAAAAAAGGTGAATCGGAAAAAAGGCAGTAGGGTGGAACCGGGTAGGTGATAGGGGTAGAAGGAAGAGAAGAAAAGAAAGTAAAGAAAGAATGGATGAACAAACAAACGAGATGAAGAAAGAAAGTTGTTACAATATGCAGATGGAGGTTATAATTTGAGTATATATATATATATATCTGTGTGTCTACGTAATTCTCGGCAGGGTAATATATATATATATATATATATATATATATATATATATATATATATGCACTGACACACGCACACACATATACATATATGATATCATAGTATATTATATATATATACATATATGCACACACACACACATATATATATATATATATATATATATATATATATATATATATATATATATATATATATATATACGCACACATATATATCGTGATTTTCTAAGCCCGGCTGAGATGTTGCACAAGGCCGAAAGTATGAACTCACTACTCAGTTGTAATTGATGTAGCAAGACAAGCTTCCTAACAACTACACCACGTCGAGGTGCCCCACACAAACACACATATATATATATTTCTTTTTATCAACCTTCTTCCTACCCTTTCATTCTTCTTTCCCATACCGGATACTACCCCATATATATATATATATATATATATATATATATATATATATATAAATATGTGTGTGGGGGGGGCACATATATATTCTTCCCACAAATATGGATAAATAGCTGGACAGCCTTGGATGGCAACTAGTTAAGGAGAAGGACAACTCTGAAATCAAAACCTGCGGATGGTTGTTTGAGGAACTGAACCCAAACCAGAACCTCCCGTCGTATTCGACATATGAGGGCTCAAGCAGTTCAGCTCCTAAGAACCGACAGAATCCTAGGCTATTACGTGCCACAAGTTCCCCAAACAGCCATCCGCAGGTTTTGAATTCAGAGTTGTCCTTCTCCTAGACTAGCTGCCATCCAAGGCTGTCCTGCTATTTACCCATATTTGTCGGAAGAAGAAGGGTATTAGTACGTAACAATGTAATTGATTCGAGTGAAATTTGAACTCAGCTCCCCGGTTCCTCTTATAATAATTTTATACGTCGTGTATATAAAGCGATCTAAATAAATAGCTTTACATGATCTGAAGATCGCTATGTTAACTCCTTTGTCTACGCTGTTTATATATATACATCTGCATGTCATTTTCGAACAAATAAAGATATTTACTTTTAATGATTTTTTTTACTCGCCATTTGAAATAGACGTCATTTCTTGCAGCGTTGTTCTGCTTGGCCAAGTTGTAATGCAAATTGCATTAGTGTTTTTTGTGTGTTGAAGATCGTATACCACAACACTAATAAAAACAACATTAAATACTTATACTGGACAAACGTACACCACACTATATCGAAGATTGACCTGTCGAATACTTGGTTCAATCCGTGGACACATAGATCAGAACAACGACCAAATTACAGCTATCAGCAAAGTACAAATTCTTTACGGTGTTCCAATAAATTGGACCGATTATAAATGTGAATTAAGTTTAAGCGTTTTTCCTTTTTCTTTCAGATTTAACAACTTAAGATTCAAACATGGAAAGATTAACAATCAATGTTCAAGTAAATATTGAAAAAGCATTCTTTTTGTGCGATAGTAAATTTTATTTATTTATTTATTTACATTACAGTTTTAATTACAGTTTAAATAAGATTTAGGTTAGAATTCATTTTAATGTACTGCAATTTTAATTACAACTTTAAAATAGAACTAATGCCTTTAATTTAATTACAAAATTAAATTCGGGGCTTTTAGCTTCCATTTTTGAAACATGGTTAGAACTGTGTAGCGACAAAACCCATATTTTAAATCAATTAATTTATAATATTAATGCTCTGTAAATTTACATCGAGCATTACTTTGTAAAAATAAAAATATCTATAAGAACACAGGGTTATATATCTTACTATTCTTTCTTTTTATTTATATACATATATATATGTGTGTGTGTGTGTGTGTGTGTGTGGGTGTGTGTGTGTGTGTGTGAATGTGTGTGTGTGTGTGTTTGTCTGTACACACACACACACACACACACACACACACACACATATTATATATATATATATATATATATATATATAATTTGGGATTTGCTATCTATGGGGGAATAATCCTGAAAATCAGAGCGTTTATAGATGTAGACAAATAAGAAGCAACTATTCTTTGCCTGTTTACGATCAAACGGTGCTCGAATGCACCAAATATAGTTATTGCAAATCTACAAAGAATAACATTCAATACACAAGGATTAAAAATAAAATCGATTTGATAAAGACGAATTGATAATGTGGACAACATTTAGAAGAAGCTGATCAATCCATGTAGAAATTCTCTAGTACCAGGCTGATGGTTCTCATTCTAACACAAATGTTAAGCAAATGTCCTTCAGAATTAATCCCAAGAGATTATAGCATTGTCAAATCAACCGTTTTACGATCTCCGACAATTTGTTATAACGAAATTCGTGTTTTTCCTCGGACTGCTTCCAGTAGATCTGTCCATGAATTTTAACTAAGATCTTGAAAAACTGCCTGAAAATCAAGATTCGGTATAGAAATAAAAAAAAATAATAGGCAACTGGCATTTCCCAAAAAGCACACTGGACAGGATAACAAAGAAGAACTCTATTTATCTCAGATGAATACTGACTCTTTTGTTATCAGAATTATGTCGGAAAGCTTCCAGGGAAGATATATAGTGACAAACGGGTCAAAGAAACACCCCTTCAGCTGGATGATTTGGGGCAGCTTGTTTATGCTTTCTGGAAACTTGAAGAACCGTGAATGGTTAAAACTATCTGGAACTTCTGCAGAACACACTAGGTTATCGAGATTCACATGCTGCAGAACCTTTATACATGATGGTGTCTCCTATGCAAGCATGTCTTGGTATGAAGGTCAGCAACAATATATCGGAATGGCCTGAAAATGGACCTGACCTCAATCCTATAGAATAATTTTGGACTACATGAAGAATTAGGTTGCCGACAAATACCTCGTCAATGTCAATACTCTTGTGCATACTATTACTGACGTCTGAACAACTGGCGTATCAGCAGTAAATTTTCAAATTTCAAAGTCAATAGGCTTTGGTTTGGTTTGTTTTACGGCATCTCAAACTTAATGGATTATTTAATGCCGACAAAATTTTTATTGCTGGTAATCCTTTTTTACCAAAACTGTATTGTTGGTAATGTTTTTTGCTCGTTCAAAAAATCTATTTCTGTAAATATTTTTCTTCAAAATTTATATCAGGTAATTTAAAAAAAATATCTATTGCAGGTAATATTTTTCAAAAAATGTATAGCTGGTAATATTTTTTTCAAAAATGTATTGCTGATAATATTTTTCCCCAAAATGTATTGCTGGTAATATTTTGTTTGTTATAATTTTACTTTAAAAGTGTATTACTGATAATAATTTTCCTTCACAAAAGCATTGCTTGTAACAATGTTCCTACAAAAATGTTTTGCTGGTAATAATTTTTCCTTCAAAATTGTATCTCCGATAATAATTTTCCCTTCAAAACTATATTGGTAATAATAACTTTTTCTTCACAAATATATTGCTGGCAATAATTTTTTCATCAACAATTTATTGCAGTTAATAATTTTTCCTTCATAAAAGTATTGCTGATAAAAAATTTATTTCTCAAAAACGTATTTCTGGTAATATTTTTTACCCAAAAAATGTATTGCTGATATTAATACCTATTTTTACACTTCTATAGCGTTTTGACCCTTGTTTGGGGTCAACTATTTACACATTGGGGGAACATAACAGGTGCTACCACCCCTGGTCAGGGCGGACCTGGGAACACCATCAATTAAGACTGCTTACATAGCCAATATAAAGCGTATAAAAATAATATGTAAATTTTAAAACCATTTTTTATGATTGGAAATGTGATCTGAAGAACCAGGAAAAAAACACTTTCCTGGGGAAATAAACTATAATCAATGGACCCTTAAGGTTGTCTGTTTTTAATTTTAATTTTAAATAGGATATAGGATTAAAAAAAAAAATCTTTGTCGGGATTCTATATCATATTTTAAACACAAAAACTACCCTTCTGCTATAAGTAGAAAAGGGAAAGTCATGTTTATATAAACTAGCTCCACCACCAGAACTATTTTGAAATGAATGCATACTGCAAACCAATGGATTCACACTGCACACTATAAATCAATACTTTTGCCATCTTTGTTATGGTTACTCGCTTTAGACTCTGTCCGTCTGCACAAGTCAATTTGTGTTTCTCAAAAACCCAGGCAGGTTACCTGAGGTTTATAATAAAATGATGCTGTATCGGGATTAGTGCCAGCTTTAATATGCGCGACGCCAGGACCATATTCAGTTTTTTAATTGTAGCTGTTCTTCTTCTAAACTTGTTACCAAAAACAACTACAAGGTACAGTCTGTCTTGTTACTTAAACTCTTGCTGGAATGAGAAGAAAGGAATCATAACTTTCCCCATGCTATTTGTGCGAAAGTGAATGCAAAGAAATCAACCAAAATTCGAAACTGTTTTACCTGATTCTCCTGTGGGGACTCTAACCTGGGTATTATAGTTAATATGTATTGAAACTGATGGCGTGAAGAATCTTGGTAATTCAAGTAACAATTGAACCTGTTCCAATGCTAGCT